CAAACCTCGACAGGTATCCTTAATGAAGTCTGAAACACGCCATATTCAGTACTGAAATACTGCAAGACAAATTCATCCAAGGCTTCATCTCCTTCGCTCTTCTGATGGCTTGCACGGTAGAACCATCTGCCGGAAGCTGAGCTTTTTGTCTCCCAAACACTACAGGAAACAATTTTTTTAGGAACAAACACGGGTGGAACTTCCTGCTTGATTCCCACAGTTGTTTGAGTCTGCTTGTCTTTTGTAGCAGGTTCCTCGGACGTCGCGGCTTTGAGATTGTTTAAAACCAACAGTCAGCCCAGCCCAGTCCATTGATGTGAGCGTTACTTTTGCTGTGAGGGGTCCAAATGTTTCTTTCTCCAACTGGTAAAAACAAAGTTCGTTTACATCATAATTGAACGCATACCCCCAGACACGTCCTGAATCTAAATTCCAGTCCTCATGAAGTGTATCGGGGGGCGGCGTCTGGATCCGGCTCAAATACAACACTCGTTTCTTGGGGGCTCCTCCCAGGGTTGAGTTTTGATAACTTGTTACAGGTGTCTGGCTGATCATCTTCGAATTGGCTGCTCTCTTGCTCATGTTTAGGTTGTTTTGGAATAGTTTTGTTATATGTTTCTGAATGACTAAATGGACTCCTTTTATTTTCACAGACTCCCATCATTGGCCTATGGTAACCCCTCCTAGTCTCTTATCATTGGCTCACGGTAACTCTACCCATCCTCTTATTTTGTATGTGACAGCATGTGGGAGATAACTGGTGAGGGGCTGGGGACCGTTACTTCTGGTACAACCAGATTATTATATAGTCTGTAGTTCCAAACTCTTGTCTCCAGCTGATAAAAAAAGGTTCCCGTTTCAAAAACGAACTCTGTCTGATAAAACCAGACCGTTTTTAACAACCGGAGTCTGGGGTTATAGATAACTCTATTCCATAACTGGTCTACAAGATTACCTGAAGATGCTAATGACAGTTAAAACACGACTCATTGAAAAAACAGAGGGAGGGGAGGGATGGAAGGAGGTGGAGCACATTCCTCAATTCACCCTGCACAGCCTATGCTACACCAGAAAGAGAGAGGACAGAGAAGAGGAGACACAGACTCACAAGTTTAAGGCTGAGCTACAGCTTTTGAGTGATAATGATGGCAAGTTTGTAAGACAAAGCACTAGCAAAGTAATTTGGAACTCTCTCTTATTTTGCTGCATCCTGTTGAAGGTAATTTAAAAATCTTTTTTAATTTCAACTCACTGTTATACTATTTTACTGTAATTATTTCAATTTATTCTTTACTTCTTTAATGATGGTAAGTTTGTCACACAAAGCTTTAGCAAAGATTTTACAAAGTTTAATTTTGGAACTCACTCTTATTTTGCTGCATGCTGTTGAAGGTAATCTATAATGCTGTTTAATTTTTACTCACCGTTATACCATTTTACTGCTTTACTGTCATTATTTCAATTTATTCTTCACTTGTTTAATAATAAAGACTGACTTGATTCCAAATCAATGAAGAAACCTCCTACTGATCCTTTGCTGGCCCCGGAGATTCCTCCTTTACTTATAACTCACTGCTATACTTTTTTAATGATAAATTTATTGCCATAAACACCTACTAGTTAATTCATTCAAGTTCATGTTTTATTACTTAATAAAGTCTTTAAATCAATGAAAAACCTCCTCCAATTATCAGTCAAAAACACACAACGGAAGGATGTACGCACCCCTCTTATCAGTTACACACACACATATTTACGGTTTGGGCGGGACCGGATACACCCCTCTTATCAGTTACATACACATATTTACGGTTGGGGCGGGACCGGATACACCCCTCTTATCAGTTACACACACACATATTTACGGTTTGGGCGGGACCGGATACACCCCTCTTATCAGTTACACACACACATATTTACAGTTTGGGCGGGACCGGATACACCCCTCTTATCAGTTACACACACACATATTTACAGTTTGGGCGGGACCGGATACACCCCTCCTATCAGTTACACACACATATTTACAGTTTGGGCGGGACCGGATACACCCCTCTTATCAGTTACACACACATATTTACAGTTTGGGCGGGACCGGATACACCCCTCTTATCAGTTACACACACACATATTTACGGTTTGGGCGGGACCGGATACACCCCTCTTATCAGTTACACACACATATTTACAGTTTGGGCGGGACCGGATACACCCCTCTTATCAGTTACACACACATATTTACGGTTTGGGCGGGACCGGATACACCCCTCTTATCAGTTACACACACATATTTACGGTTGGGGCGGGACCGGATACACCCCTCTTATCAGTTACACACACATATTTACGGTTTGGGCGGGACCGGATACACCCCTCTTATCAGTTACATACACATATTTACGGTTGGGGCGGGACCGGATACACCCCTCTTATCAGTTACACACACATATTTACGGTTGGGGCGGGACCGGATACACCCCTCTTATCAGTTACACACACACATATTTACGGTTTGGGCGGGACCGGATACACCCCTCTTATCAGTTACACACACACATATTTACGGTTGGGGCGGGACCGGATACACCCCTCTTATCAGTTACACACACACATATTTACGGTTGGGGCGGGACCGGATACACCCCTCTTATCAGTTACATACACATATCCGGTATGGGGACGGGAACGGAAATAGCTGTCAAAATTAGTTTGATGGAATGTCATGTATATTTCTCTCTCACGTCTTGTGCTCGGACCCTAATTACCATTAATGCTGGTGTGTTGTGCTGCTCACTCACTGTCAGGATTCACTGGGATGAGTCAGAATGAATTAAATGAGTTAGCATGAAATGATGTGTATGTAGCCATCGTTCATGATTTACTGAAACAGCAGGTGAAGTGTCTTCAGTGCTGCCATGTGTTTCTGAGTGATTATGTGTCTGTAGTTTTAATTACGATCTGAATCTGCTGGCCTTCACTCACACATCCATCACCCTCAGAACAGGAGAACCAGGAGAAACCAATAGATCAGACTTCCTCTCTTTGGAAATGTAATGTCCTACTATGACATCATAGTTTTGTATGATGTCATTATAATATATTTACATATCCCAGAGGTTTGACTGTGCATGTTGTAGCATGGCTAAAATTTAGCTATGAATTTTAATAAATATATGAGAATTAATACCCAATTATGAATTTTAATATTCAGAAAATATCAATCCATAAAAGCTCTGGTTAAAAAGGGCACCACTGGAGTTGTTATTATCCTAGAGTCTCCGGACCTCTAGGTAGCTTTTAATAATTATACAATTATTGACTAGTGATCAGTTAGTTAATAATCGCTAAATTATCTTAAATCAATCAGTCAGTCTCTTATCTAAAGGGTCAATTCTCTTGGCAGGGACGTGGAGATAGGCAACACACACAGTTCCTTGATTACAGTGAATTTATTAACTAACTAATGCAATATAAAAGGGTAGTTAAATACAGGGAAAATAAACAATGGCTAAACAATGAGAAATGGAGGTTCGATTGTGGGAAGCATTTGACTCATACGGCAGAGGAGAACTAATGAAAGTAAGCTATGAGTTTAGGAGTTAAAAGAAAATATTAACACTATGGGACATCCCTGATCTACAGAATGCTTTGTTTGGTCTTACTGCTTGTCGACAGCCTGCTTTGGACTGTTGCACGGGTCCCCGCTAGCTGCCCAATCCTGGCTTTTTGCTAGGGATTCCCCGGGGTTCTCCGTGTCTGGCAATTCGGCTGTTTTCAGGTTTCCTTCATTGCCGCTGGCGAGACCACGTGGCTTGGTCTGACCTCGGTGAAGTTGGCTCGACGAAAAAGCTTAAAAGGGAACTTGGTCGTTCCTGAATTAGTCCAGTGTAACTTAACGGACTGATAACTTTAACAAAACAAAAGAAAGAAAGAAAATAAAACAAACTGAGGGGCGGATCGATGTTGCGGCACTTCGTGTGTGTAGCTTCAAGCGAACAAAGGCCTGTTGCGCTGGTCGAACTCTTAGGGCGTTGCCTGGAGAGGCACGCCGGACGCGTGCCGAAGAGAGCACGAGGAGAGAAGAGCCGAGAAGAGAGCGAGCGAACGATGTCGTGTGTCGCTCTTTTGTTGTCTGGGGCATTGTTCCCCAGAGGGCAGTCCTTTGTTCCCGAGGGAGAGTTTCCGATTATCTTGCTGAAAATAAAAACACTGCAAAAGTAACTTATTTAGATTCTTTTCAGCACTAATATCAACAACAGATCAACAACATGGTGACATAACTACTCAAATAGAGGCAAACGTAACCAAGTAACTAAAAGATTTAATTAAACAGTTAAGGCTTTGGGGTCTTTGGAGACTGCAGTCTTTGTTTATTTAAAGTTTGGCTGTTGTGGATTATGTCACACTTAGGCGTAAAAGGGTTCGCTGGTTAGTGTCCCTTTTGTCAGTTTAACAGTCAGGCACAGCTTTGAAATCAAAAAGGTGCCAGTTTTATGATCATGCTGCTCAGGAATAGCACTTAGAGAAAGCAACCTTTCCACCCCCCTTCCGTTGGGGTCTCTTCAGCAGTCTGTTGAAGTTGATCTTTAACCGCCCTGCTCCTAATATAAAATGCACAAATCCACACTGTTGTCCCACTACAATGTAAGCTCATACAGCGTGAATGAGTTTTTGCTATCTAATCCATGAAAGACTCCAAATTCATTATAAATATAGCTGTTGCTCAGCCACCACGCTGTACGCACTATTTGAAGAGGACGAAGGAAGTGACTGTGGAAGTTAGCAGTGGTCTGAGGCACTGCTGAGAAACAAGGTTCTTCTTTCTACAGCATCTGTGCAGGTGCTGTGGGGTGAAGGTTAGGGACCGCCATGTTTACAGGTTGTTAAAACTGTATTACATACAGTACTGTGTTTTCCTGCTGGTATTTAATGTTTTCTGTACAACACATTATGTTTCAGTGATGTAGTCACATTCAGATATGGAGAAAACTCCCTTTCAATATCTTTAATTTAACTTTATTTAATAGTGGTGGCATAAAATGTACCACAGAGACCAGCTGCATTCAACATGGCTGCGACATTCCTGCCATGAAGGTTTCACCTGTGTTACCTGAAGAATGAACCTGAAGCTGTAGTTTCACAACCCGTCCAATAGGAGCGTTGAGTACACTGGGAGCAACAAATATTTTACACAAAAAACTGTGAAGAAAATGTACCATATACATTGAAAATGTAGTAATAGCTTGAGAAAAAAAAACATTTAAAAGTTTTTTAAACGACAATATTACGTAATTTGATCACAAGATAAATACATAATACAAACATTTTGTGTACACACAGTATTCACCTTGTCTCATTTCTTCACATCACAGAAGAAACATATTTGGACTGAGAGAGCTTCAGGTCTGTTTACTACTTCATATTTTAAATCATAATGTTACACATCTTTAAAATGACAGAACAGAAAAGCCTTTCAAACATCACCGTCCGTACCATTATCGCTTTAGATTTATTATCACTTTATATTACATCATCAATCATGAAGCACACGATTATGTGAAGAATTAAGGTGCGTAAATATTTACATGCACATCAATACGGCAATGACAGTTAATCAGAATATTAATTGGTTCTCAGATCATTCTGTTATTTTGACATTTAAAGAGTTTGTTGGTCCGACTCTGAAATGTTTGTTCGTTGATGCAAAAGTGCTAATTTGGATAGAAGTGGTCACAGATCCCAGGTCACTGCTGCAGGCACTCGTAACAGTTTCGACAGCAACACCTCACATCCTCAGTCACAGGAGCTGAAGACTCAGAGGCAGATTTACTGAAGCAGCCCACGTTAGTTGTTGTTAGCCTAGCGTAGCATAAAAAACGGAAGCGGGGAGAGACAGCTGCTCTGTCCAAAATACACCTCCTGAACCTTTAACTCCTTGACGCCTGAATTTATTTACAATAAAAAAAAACTTTTGTTCATTTGCTTTCAAATTTAAATTTGTTGGAAATTTTTAATTTTAATTTGTCTATAGAACATAGAAAAGATATAAATTCAGGTATGATGTATGGTAACGTTAGCTAGTGGTTCACCTGTCCGGTAACGTTACCTAGTGGTCCACCGGTAACATTACCTAGTGGTCCACCTGTCCGGTAACGTTACTTAGTGGTTCACCTGTTTGGTAATGTTAGCTGGTGGCATTCACCTATCAGGACCAAACCACTGACATGGAGAGGAAACCAGAGAAACATGAAGATCAAAAGTGGGTGTGTCCTCTGCAACTATTACCTCAGAGCAGGTGTGGAGTCTAGCTGACATGTTTAGAAGTACGCTGGTGTTAGGAGTCCACAGAGTAGAACTGAGTCAGGTGACATGCTGGTCTGTCATTGGCTGAGAGTTAGAGGGAGCTGCCACACCAGCAGTGTGTTATCGGTCTCTGCTGAGGCCGCCTGTCCTATCCTGCGGTGGCCTCTTCCCCCGGAGAAGATGGCTGTTGAGGTAACTTTGCTGCGCCGGGCCTCCCCCTCCTTCCCCCACTCCATGGGCCGCCCCCTCACCCACACGTCAGGGTCCTCGCTCACTTCATAGATGGAGCCGTCCTCTGGGCTGTGCTCCAGGGAGTCTGGGGGGGGCCTCAGGTTCCCCTGTTCAGGCTGAGCTGTCAGGAGCTTCCCGGGCAGCTGGCAGGTGGATTGGAGGCGATACTGCAGCAGGAGGCGCTTGGGTTTCTCCTCCCTCAGTGGAGGAGCGTCTGAGTCCTGGGGGTAGCTGCTCTGCTCACACCTCTGCCCTCTTTCATCTCCATCACCTTTACCTCCCTCTCCCCATCCCTCTCTCAGTGCACCCTCCTCACCACCGTTGAGAATGGAGTCCCGTCTGAGCAGGTCGGAGGCCAGCGTGCTGGAGGCCGACACCAGGAAGTCCACCTGACCACAGTGAGCGTTCAGAGACAACATCCCTTTACCTGGGGGGGGTCACCACATTATGTCCAGATTAACAGGATATAAATACAGTGCTAACTGCTAAATACATAAATCTGTCCAAAGAATAACCTAAGAATCAAACTCAGACAATAGAAAGGTCCAAATCGTCACGTCGGTTGCTCGCTGACGTGACCCAAACACAGGTCAGTAATGTATTACTGGCTAAATAAATACAATACAATGCCGTATTCACCACAGACACACCATGTGTTTGAGGTTTTACATGAACCACCGTCAGTCAGGAAGAGAGCTGCTGGACTCGGTTCTGACCTGTGATCTTGGGGATGCCCTCCAGGGTGGGAATAGGGAAGGTGAGGATGATGCCTTGACTGGTCCCCACCCACAGCAGGCCCTGGCAGGCCAACAAGCTGGAGACGCAAACCTGACCTGGAACACAAACAGACATTCAACCGTTACAACAGCCTATGCAGCTCGAGCCAAAGTCCTGCCCCCCCCGAACCAGGACCTGTCAGTCACTGTGCAACAAAATACAGGATGGCAGCTAATCATATTTATAAAGTGGAGATCACAAAGGAGAGGTCCACTGATGTCAACATAAACCACGTCATTCTCTCATCACCTGCTTAGAAAGGCAAACGGAGGTAAACGTCTCTTTATTAACGAGGTAACCACTTCTTAACTAAGGAGGTAAACAACTCCTTAATAACAAGGTAAACGCCTCTTTACAAATGAGGTAAACACCTCCTTACTAACGAGGTAAATGCCTCTTAACTAAACGCTTTTTATTAACAAGGTAATCGCCTCCTAACTAAAGAGGTACATAACTAACGAGGTAAACGCCTCTTTACTAACGATGTAAACGCCTCTTTACAAACGAGGTAATCGCCTCCTAACTAGCGAGGTAAACGCCTCCTTACTAATGAGGTAAATGCCTCCTAACTAATGAGGTAAACGCCTCTTCAATCTATCTTTATCAACAGGCTATGTACCACAATACTTTAAAGTAGCTGTAATAAAACCTCTTCTGAAAAAGCCCAAACTTCATCCAGATGTTTTAGCCAACTATAGCTAACCTTCCATTTCTATAATAGTTTATTTGAGGATTTTCAGTCAGGATATAGAGCTCATCATAGCACAGAGACAGCACTGCTGAAAATTACTAATGGCCTCCTAATTGCATCAGACAAAGGACTTGTCTCTGGACTGGTTTTATTAGGTCTTAGTGCTGCATTTGATACCATTGACCATCAGATCCTATTACAGAGACTGGAATATTTCATTGGCATTAAAGGAACCGCTCTAAGCTGGTTTAAGTCCTATTTATCAGATCGATTTCAGTTTGTACATGTTAACAATGAGTCCTCCATGCACGCCAAAGTTAGTCATGGAGTTCCTCAAGGATCTGTCCTCGGACCAATCCTCTTCACTTTATATATGCTTCCTTTAGGCAATATTATCAGGAAATATTCCATAAACTTTCATTGTTATGCAGATGATACTCAGTTATATCTATCGATCAAGCCAGATGAAACTCATCAGTTAGCTAAACTTCAAATGTGCCTTCAGGATATTAAAACCTGGATGACCTGTAATTTTCTAATGTTAAACTCAGATAAAACTGAAGTTATTGTTCTGGGGCCCAAGCACCTCCGTGACGCATTATCTAAAGATATAGTTTCCCTTGATGGCACCGCCCTGGCCTCCAGCACCACTGTGAGGAAACTTTGATCAGCACATGTCGTTTTAGTCACACATTATGCAAATTTCAAGGACTGCCTTTTTTCACCTACGTAATATTGCAAAAATCAGGAACATACTGTCTAAAAATGATGCAGAAAAACTAGTCCATGCATTTGTTACTACTAGGCTGGATTAATGCAATTCCCTATTATCAGGCTGCTTGAAAAAGTCCATTGATCCAGAATGCTGCAGCACGTGTTCTGACAGGAACCAGGAAAAGAGATCATATTTCTCCTGTCTTAGCTTCTTTGCATTGGCTTCCAGTAAAATCCAGAATAGAATTTAAAATCATTCTTCTTACCTACAAAGCTCTTAATGGTCAGGCACCATCTTATCTTAAAGAGCTCATAGTACCTTACTAACCCACCAGAGCACTCCTCTCCTCTCTCCTCCTATCACTTCCTGCACGTGTTTCTGGCTCTGGAGCTGTGGAGTCTGTATCTGTGGTTGCGAGTCACCTGCTGCCCCTGTGTTCCTGCTCGACACCCTCTGCTACAATTATTGTTACTAGTCCTATTTAGGGCCCGAGCACGACCGTGCGAGGTCCCTATTGAATTTGCTCGGATTATTTATTTATTTATTTATTAGGGCCCGAGCACGACCGTGCGAGGTCCCTATTGAATTTGTTCGGATTATATATATATATATATATATATATTTTTTTTTTTTTTTTTTTTCTGCAAAGTAGGCCCAACTGACATGGCCTAAACATACTCGAAAACTCACCAAAATTTGCAAACATGTCAGAACCGGTGAAAAATTTCGTATTCTACAAGTTTCGCACATGGGCGTGGCAAAATGACTCGCTAGCGCCACCTAGAAAATTGGAAAAGATTAGCCCCTCGTTCACGTTCAACCTACATGTACGAAATTTTCTGGGGACATGTATCGTATCAAGACGCACAAAAAAGCCTCAAGAACCCATAGCCTAAAGTCAACAGGAAGTCGGCCATTTTGAATTTTATGGCCATTTTTGGATGATTTACACACTTCGTACTTTAACGAACTCCTCCTAGGGATTTAGTCGGATCGACGTCAAATTTGTGCTGTGCCTTCTAAAGGCATTGACGATGAAAAGTTGTGCTATTTGCGCGTTTTCGTCAATGGGCGTGTCTGTGGCGTCGATGATTCGCTATGAAACAGGAAGTTGTTGTAACTTCAGTGTACATGCTCACATCTGGACCAAACTGTACATCTAGGATGAGAGTCCCGCCCTGAACACATGTACATGCCGACATTCACCCACAGTCATAGCGCCACCTGCTGGCAATAGAAAGTGACCTTTAACGAAGCAGCCCCCGCCGCACGTTTCACCTATGTGCACGAATTTTCTGTGGTACGTGTATCTTGTCCAGACGCACAAAAAAGTCTCTTGGAGCCATAGCCTAAACCCAACAGGAAGTCGGCCATTTTGAATTTTACGTCACATTTTGGATGATTTACACACTTCGTACTTTAACGAACTCCTCCTAGGGATTTAGTCCGACCGACTTCAAATTTCTGTTGTGCCTTCTAAAGGCACTGAAGATGAAAAGTTGTGCTATCTGCGAATTTTCGTCAATGGGCGTGTCCATGGCGTGGCGTCAAAGATCAACTCTTCGCCATGACACAGGAAGTTGTTGTAACTTCAGTGTATATGCTCACATCTGCACCAAACTGTACATGTAGGATGAGAGTCCCGCCCTGAACACATGTACATGCTCACATTCACCCACAGTCATAGCGCCACCTGCTGGCAACAGGAAGTGACTTTTAACGAAGCAGCCCCCGCCGCACGTTTCACCTACGTGCACGAATTTTCTGTGGTACGTGTAACTTGTCCAGACGCACAAAAAAGTCTCTTGGAGCGATGCCCTAAAACCAACAGGAAGTCGGCCATTTTGAATTTTACGTCACATTTTGGATGATTTACACACTTCGTACTTTAACGAACTCCTCCTAGGGATTTAGTCCGACCGACTTCAAATTTCTGCTGTGCCTTCTAAAGGCATTGAAGATGAAAAGTTGTGCTATTTGCGAGTTTTCGTCAATGGGTGTGTCCGTGGCGTGGCGTCAGAAATCAAGTCTTCGCCATGACACAGGAAGTTGTTGTAACTTACGTGTACATGCTCACATCTGAACCAAACTTTACGTGCTTGATAACTCAAGGGGTCATCTTCTCTGCTATTGGTGGACCAGTCAGACAGGAGAGCTCTTACTCTGCCTGCAGACATCAACGATCTTGCCCCTCACACAGTCAGATGGCTTCCTTCAGTGCACTGAGGTGTTTAACAACTCTGAAGACAATACTACCAGCAATGTCTTCCTTCTCTTTTCATGTAGACGCTCCGACAGACAGTCAGTTTGCTGCATGCATGGACACAGAACTGCGGTATAGAGAGAAGCACACGGTCAGCTGGCTGCAGCTAAATCTGGAGTGCATTCGTATTCAATTCTGTATGGTAAATTCAGTTTTAACGGAGCAGAGCGAGCTGACAGGCAGAGTTAGAGACTTTTTCTGTCCGTTTCTCTCTTTACAAAGACGCATGTTGCAGTCAGAGTCTTCTCTGAGATGCGAGCACGACATACAACACAATTTATCAAATTACACATCGGATATACAGTATGAAAATAAGATTGATTGGATTATACTCACAGGAAGTATAAAACCTGTTACATGCGTCTATTAAAAGTAAAGTAACACAAAAATGTCAGGGAAATTACTTTACTTAGATTTCAGGACTGCAGTTGTACATTTGAAATACCTTCCTACCTTTCTGATAGGAAGCCTTCTTGAGGTGGTATAAAACATTTCTTCATATATTCTGATTTGAGTTGTGGACAACTATGACCACATGAATTAAAAAAATTAAACATTTCACTGCCCAAGTCAGCTATAACACAAGTCTTGTTCATTAGACTACATGCTGTACAGTAATTGACTACAGATTTTGGCCCAGGATTTATTATGCATTTCTTCTTCTTCGTTGCATGGTTTAGAATAATAAGGTGAGAAATGGGTCTGTTCTGAGTTCATCCTGCACTGCAGCAGCTAATAAAGTCCATTTAATCCCAAAAACGCTTTTCTTTTAGGCAGGCTGGAGAAGAAACACAGTAACGATGAAATGTGTGCTGTTCTCACATTCTTCCTCTGTATGTACACATAAACAACAAGGCAGGGAAATATATAAGGAATTTATTTTATTGTTTGGGTACATTATTGTTCAGTGTACATGCTCACATCTGAAACAAACTTTACGTGCTTGATAACTCTCCCACCCCGCAGACATCTACACACCGATTTATATTCATAGCGGCAAGTGCTATGTAGCTCCACATAGGGGACACAGGAAGTGACATATAGCAACTTCATGCAGCGTCATAACCGCGTAACAAATTCACAGCCGCACCGGCAGAGCTCCAGAATGTGCAACTCGGCCGGCTCACACGCGGACGCGCTTACAAGTGCGAGGGCCCGCCCAACGCTGCTTGCAGCTTTAATGTTATTATTTTTATTATAATAATTAACATTACGATTATTACCATTAACACTACTATAAATATCTGTACCATTTTTCATTTAGTCTATAGCAACATCACCTTTACTGTCTGTACCTCTGTGTGTATATTGTGTAGGCTGCCTTCCTCCCCTCTCTCTTTCTTCCTCACTGTCCCTCCCTCCCTCTTCCTCTCTCTCTCTCCTTCAC